TGATATTACTTAATATTTAAATTTATTTTATTTTCAAATGCTGTTTCTGAGTTAATAAATGAATACTTTCCAAAGTATTCACCATTATCCTCTTTAGAGCCTGCAGTTAAAAACTGCTTAGTGTTGGATGCAGTGGCACATGCCTGTTATCCCAGCTACTCAGGAGGCTGAGACAGGAGGATCGTGAGTTGAAAGCTAGTCTCAGCAAAAGTGAGGTGCTAAGCAACTTAGTGAGCCTTGTCTCTAAATAAAATACAAAATAGGGCACTAGAGATGTGGGTCAGTGGTTGAGTGTTCCTGAGTTCATTCCCTGATACAAAAAAAAAGAAAAAATACTTAGTAAAGATGCCTTTAATCCCCACCTTTCATATGCAGATCCAATTTGGCAATCATAAAAACTGTTTTTGTAGCAATGAAAATCTGTTATTAAATACAGAATCTAATAATTTTTTGCTATTGAACAAAAAGTCAAGAGGAAAAATTATTTCCTCTTTTTCAATCATTCAATCAAAACAAATTATTAATACTGCTTAATTGAAAAAATGCTGACACATGCCTGTAATCTCAGCAACTCAGGAAACTGAGGCAGGAGGATCACAAGTTTGAAGGCAGCTTCAGCAATTTAGCAATACCCTAAACAATTTAGTGAGACTCTGTCTCAAAAATAAATAAAAATAAAAAGACTGGGGATGCAGCTCAGTGGTAAATACTCCCCTAGTACAATTCTCAGTTCAAAAATATATATTTATTATGTATTTAGATTTAATAAAAGCTGGGCACGGTGGTGCTCACTGTAATCCCAGTGACTTGGGAGGCTGAGGCGGGAGGACTACAAATTCAAAGCTAGCCTCAGCAACTTAGGAAGACCCTGTTTCAAAATAAAACATGAAAAAGGCTCAGTGATTAGTGCCCTGGGTTCAGGCATATGGCTCAGTGGTTAAGCACCTTTGGGTTCAATCCCTGGTACAAAAAAAAAAAAAATCTAATAAAAGTATATCAGATATGTACTTAAAAATTTTTTGTTGTAATACCTGACTGGGGAAATATGAATAACACACTTATGGACATTATATTAAAACTTAAAACATTTATTGAAAAATAAAATGAAAATTTTGACTTGGATTCTGATTTCCCTAGCCCCTACTGGAGCAAATCAAAAACTCTAGTTAAAAACCTGCTATTGCCCTGTAACAACCATCTTTTTAGTCTAGAGAGTTCTCCATGAGTTTCAAGACTAAATGGAAATTAGGCAAGCTTGATGAAGTTTTAAAGAAACTCCTAGTCAAAACAATCTTGTTCACTTACAAGAACAGCAACATTTGGGCACAGAATAACATATTCTCCAAACATAATATTTGTGAATGGCCTTTCACATTGGTTGTGCATAGCATCTACATGTTTTCTTGTGACATTCTTAAGGTCTAAGATAAATACATTAACAAAGAAAGCTCAAAATAATATATCAATTAATAGGAACTATACACTTATCGATTTATTGTGTTTCTTTCTAGCAAGGGAGGAAATAAATAAAAAATGAAACTCCAATTTTGGCCATGGAAAAACCTAATGCAGTTTCTAGATAGGAAATATATAATGTACAATATTTCATAGCAGCATGTCAGTGTTCTCAGAAAGGGCTCAGTATTGTTTGGGGAAATGTCTTAAAGTGGTGTGTCCTTGAGCATGAAGGAGATTTTATATTATTTTTTAAGAGGAATGATGTACTGGAAACAAACAAAGGCTCTCAGCTGGGACTTAACCAAGTATGAAAGTGATTTTTGTTAGATTTATCTCACTGGACAGAGAGTCAAGTAATTAGAAACAAAATTTGAGAGATACATCCAGCAGAGAGGCAATTTATGCACCTTTCCACATTGAACAGGAAATTTTCTTTTCAATATGAAAGCAGTTTTGATCAGTTTTTGTCTTCCTAAAAATAAATCCACACTGCAAATCTGCTATTGGAAAATCATACCCTAATAGTTATGAATAAAATGCAAAGAATTCCTGAGAGGGTAGGGATAGCTTCATTAATTTGGTTGTGAAATAAAAAGCAGGGTTTTTGATACAACAAGATATTAGATATGTCACTTTAGAATTAAGGGGTAATACTTGATGACAGTTGTCTTTTAGTTGTGTCTGAATGGAGATTGCAATACGAAATGCATTTCTTGTAGGTCTGAAAACACTGAAGTAGATAATTGGCTTTAAAAACAAGGTAGAATCACTAGGATTTAAAAAATTGGATTTGGTGAGGGCAGAGGAAGGGGGCATGGAAAATAATTTAAGGTAAATCAGTGAAAAATGTTTATCACTTCAAAGTATGTAACCAAGAGATTTCAGTTTCAGAAATGAAATGTAAAAAATGTACCTGATATAGAATATGTATCTTGTTACAATGTTTTTCTTTAATAACTTAAACATCCAAATTGTATCAGAAGCATTTTCTAAGAAAGTTGTAGAATAGGTTCTTTCATGGTATAAATTATCTTCACTGAAAAATCTTTGAAGACTTCAAGTTGTTGAAATTCCCTAAAATAATGCTACTAAGACTGTATCAAATGCTTGTTTAAATGCTCTTGATGTGTGTGTGTGTGTGTGTGTGTGTGTGTGTGTGTGTGTGTGTGAATGTGTGTAATTTGGAATCTTCTCTGTTTGGGCAGATATGATCATCTTTCTAATGTGCTGACCAAGATATTAGATGAGCGTCCTGAAAATGCTGTTGACATCATTGAAAATATTAGCCAAGATGTGAAAATGGCTCATTTTAGTAAAAAATTAGATACACTCCAAAATGAGAATGAGCTGCTTCCAATGTATGAAATAGCTGAGATGCAGAAGACTCTTTTTCTCCAGGGAAATTTAGAAGGAGCTGATCAGGAATTAGAAGATGAAATAGTGAGTCACTATTTTAATTTTTTAAAAACTTGTTCTAATTAGTTATACATGACAGTAGAATGCACTTTGATACATCATTCACATATGGAGTATAATTTCTCATTCTTCTGGTTGTACATGATGTAGAATCCCCCTGGTCATATATATATATACACACACACACACAGGGTAACAATGTCTGATTCATTCTACTAGCCTTTCTACTATTATAACTTTTGATACATATTTGGATTGAGTGCGGTATGGTTTCAAGTTTTTTTTTTTACTAATTATCTATTTTATAGTATTCACACATTATTTTTTCTTAAATCTCTTCAAGCTTTCTCCAATCAACCCCATTTCTCACCATGTTCTTCCTAACTGAGTCATTTTTTACAGATTCATATCATGTTTTAGTGCTTTTCAATCTTCACATTTTGCTAAATGTTTGTGGGATACGTTTCTGGAAAGCAGAGTATAAAATAGTTTCCTCCTATCTTTTGTTCTCCAAGTTGCTGTTTCTTATTAAATATTTATTGAATAATAATCAATTTCAGATAAAGTTATGCACCAGGTAATGACATTTCAGAAAATAACAGGCTACATATATGACAGTGGTCCTTTAAAATTATAATGAGATGGATAATCTCATTATAGGGGTTGGGGAGAAACACAACTAAGCCTGAGACCCTGAGGTAGGATTAGTTTTAGAACCTGGAAGAGTTAAATCATCAGGTGCAGATGAAAAGCTCCATCTCAGTGTGGAAAGACTCCCAAGACTCCCAGAGGAAAGTCTCTGAAGCAATGAAATCTGAGCAACTCTGTCCCACATGAATGTTACAGTGCTCATGGTTTTATTCCTGTTTGGGACCACACCATGATTCCTGTTCTTAGTTCTCAACTTTGCTTTGTTCATTCACTGATTCACTTACCAACTCTGTGACTGTCTATTGCCTTCCAGGTTCAGAGATATACATGTGAAAAAGACTTCTGATTTTGAGTTGCTTAAAGTTTAGTGAAGGAGACAACAAAAACTGGATGAGTGTAGTAGATAGTTTAATATGATGGAAAAACTTGGGCTTTGGAGTTCCATCTGTGTAGCAATGCTATATCATTCACTTTGAGTTGTGTGACTTTGGGAAAGTAACTAAACTTCTAAGTTGGGGGGGGGGAGGGTGGGGTGACGGAGCCGTTTATTGTAGGACAACAGAGCTATTTATACATTTTGCACAGCTTATCTTAATTAGCATAAACTAGATACATCAGTCAACCAATAAGGAATCTCCACACTTAATGGCTTGCTTTTGTTACTTCTCAAACCATTCCCTCTGGCATTTTGCCAGGCACCATCCAGACTTGTTTACGAACTCTAACATTCCCCTAGCAAAATACCAGGTGTTATTTTGACTTGTCTGTAGACCCCAACACTAAGTGTCAGAGATAATCACTCAGCAGTAGAGGTAGTCAAAAGGTATAAAATAGGTATAAAGTTTGGCATATACTAGAAATGTATTATAGCAGTTATTATTATATTGTTTTGACAGCAAGCTACAGGGTCAGACAGAATGGAATAACTAACTCTGGTGCTGGAAATTAGGCAAGACTTTGTAGCGCAGGTGATATTTCATTTGTAACATGAAGGATAAGTAGAAGATCACCAAAGTGAAGACCAAAAGAAATAAAATTCTGAGGGAAAAAGGGACAATAGTAAAGTCAGGAAAGAGTATTTGTTATGGTTTGGATATGCAGTGTCTCAAAAAAGCTCATGTATGAGACAATGCAGAAATGTTCAGAGGTTATATGATTAGATTATATAGCTATAGCCTAATCAGTGGATTAATCTGCTTGATGTATTAATAATTTGAAAGAACTACTGTACGTGGTGGTAACTGTTTGCAGGTTGAGTGTGAGTAGATCACTGGGACCGTGTCTTTGGGGTTATGTATTGTCCCTGGCAAGAGGAGTTCTCTCTCTGTTTCCTGGCTGTCATGTCCTGAGCAGCTTTACTGTCACACCTTTCATCTTCACCTGGAGCCCAGAGCTTTGGAGTCAACCATACATAAACTCCCTATAAATCCATAAGCTCAAATAAACTTTTCCTCCTCTAATCTGTTCTTGTCCAGTATTTTGATCACAGCAACGAGAAGCTGACTAAAACATTATTCACATTTCAAACAGCCACATATCACTTTGAGTTAGATGGGCGAACTCCTGCAAGCAAAAGGCAATGAGTGACACAAAATGACTAAAAGGAGATTTTGAGAATAATAAATGTAGGGCTCAATAAAGAAAATGAGAACCGTAGCAATAGGCTAAGAAGAAATTATATTTTGATATAGAGTAATAATACGAACAAAAGTAGATCATTTGTAAGAACAGCAAGTGCTCTCCATTTCTCTATCTTATGAGTCAACATTTTGTCTTACAAGTTATATTGATCTCAGAAAATGCTCTTTCTAACTTTCCTAAATTTTCATAAATGTTTTACTATACTATACTTGATATTCTGCTTGTTCATTTTTCTGTATTTCTATAATAGAATTATTTATTTATGTTATCTTTATTATTTAAGTCTAAAAGTATGTGTCATAAGTAGGGGCAAGCATCTGACTATATTATATCTTTAAGTATAGGCAATGTCTGGGCACTTATGATGTTTTCTTTTTATTTATCCTGATTGTTACCCTAAATAGGTTAATGTATTGATTTTTATTTAACACACACATA